TTACTATTCAATACATACAAGTATTTTTTTATACATTTTTTATAGTTATTTAGTTTAAAGTAAAACTTATAAAACAGATGTCGTTAGTGGGATTGTAAACACGATTTACTCTTAGTTATATATTTAGAACACGAATTAGATGGAATTAAATATGTGGGAGTGGTTGTAAACTTACTTTATAGTTTTAAATAAAAATATGTTTATGTTCAATAAATAAAAATGCATGTATTTTTATATAATTTTATAACTAAAGTAAATAAATAACGTCGCACGAGGAGGCCCCTAGTAGCAATGGAATTGGACAAGATTCTTTGTCAAGATACTTGGAGAAGCACTTTGTAAAGAATTGGACAATTCTTGACCAACACTCTTGATCAAAATTCTTTATCCAGACTGGTGGCAGACTTGGACAAGTCTGTGACCAGACGTTGACCAGATTCTTGGCCAAGAATTTTTACACGATTACACGTTAAATAGGAACTTTCAATTCAAGATTTTTGGTCAATACAAAATTTTGTTGAACTTCAAAAGTTAAGAATGTTACTAAAAACATTAATTTTCCACGATTTCTTTCCAGTAAATTCGGTTTTTATCCATAAATCTGGTAAACAATAGAATTAAAAACGAAACAAATTTTGAAAGAGTTAAAGTTTTTAATTTTCTATGTTAAAAAAAAACCAGGTGCCCGTAAAAATAAACATGTATTTTATAATCTCTCATGTTCATAAAGAGTAAACTCTAGTTATGCGTCAGAGCTGACACACACTTTTTTTTTAATTTTTGATTTTTAGAAATAACAATTTTTATTTTTCAAAAAATCAATTTTTTTCTCAGCTAGAAGACGATTCCAATAAGCTCTTATTCGTATTTTCACATAAACAAAAAAACTATACTCATTTCCCGACAGAGAACTCACTTCTAGACTAGTATACATTATTGTGAATGATACTACTGTAGAATGAGAACCTCTACTCTATAGGATAGTCCCAAAGTTTAGCAATAGATGGCCTCAGATTTCTGGTCAAATTCTTGTCAAATTCTGGCCAAAGTCTGGCTCAAGTCTTGCCCAATAATCTTGGCCAAGAATCTGGAACAATTCTTGTACAATTCTTGAGCAAAAATCTGTCCAAAGTATCTTGACCCATGCTGGGCCAAGACTTTTCCGGAATTGCTACTGGGTTTAAGCAACAAATAGGTATAACTTACTACCCCAAAATTTTACATTTTATTTATTGAATTTTAAGGCAATAGACTAGTATTTAAGGATATAAAACATTTTTAACGACCTTTCTTAAATAAAAAATTGTTATTAATATTAAATTTTTGATTTTTTGACACAAACTGTGAAATAATACATCTGTCTAACATCTTTTGAATTGTTTCCATTCATTTTGGATGCATGTTTATTTACACACATGTTGCCAATTTTTTTAAACTTAATAATAATAACAAAAAATGTAATATTTTTCTACACAAAATAATTTGGCTAAACCTATTTTTTAATACTTAGTTTTTATTTATATAAGTAGTAGGACTAGCGTCGCTCGCATGATTCTAATAAAAAAACGAATCAATTGAAGATTTAGTTATAGTTATGTTACTCTTAAGCTGATAAACTATCTTTATGCAAAAAATTATGTCGGCCCGCAAAAATTTCAAAAATTGTCCTGTTTCCCGTCTTAACACCTAGGACACCTAGGGCACCTACATTCCGAATTTTATCAAAATCGCGTGTTTGGTCTAATCAAAATTACATTTTACTATCATTAGAAAAACAAATCCACAATATAATACTTAAACAACTAAAGTATCCTATTATTATTAATACAATGATAAAATATCATTGTAATATTACTGTCATACGTTGGTGATGGGAACCATCAATAAAAAAATTAAGCTACTTCTGGGCTGCCGGCGTTTTTCTATATTTGGGTGAATATTTTAAAACTGTCGATTTTCGGAACCATTTTCGTTAACACATAAAAAAATTGCAAATCTTATTAATTTTGCACCTTTAGGACTTTTTCACTCATGAACATAGACATAAATACTAAAAACTTAAATTTTTTTTTGTCTTTTTTAGAAAGTTGAACCCACGGTTATACTTGGTCATCTCTTATTCTTCTGCGTCTCTCACGTTCTGCTTGTCTTTTAGCTTCGTTGTTCAACTTGTTTGGTGGTTTTGTCATTTTAATTAATTTCCCACTGAAATGAAATATTTTAAATTGGTTACATGTAAGGGACACGACAATGACGAGCACGGTAATGATGATTTTAAGGTTAGATTATTTTACAATGTTTATTCGAAAATGTAATGGAATTTTCAAGTTGGATACCATTTGCTTTTTGTTAATGCATGACTCCTTTGTATTAATGTAAATATTTTGTATGTCCATAAACTTTTAAATAATTTTAACCCCGACAATGACGTAATAAGCCGTTTTCGTTTTTATTCGAAGCACGTCACAACTTTATGGTTTGACATATGCTAGTGGAAGTTAGACAGGCAGGATATTTCCATATCAGATGTTTGAAATCTTCCGGCATTTTCTGAATGTATCGCGTATTTAAATATGAAATTAGACACATGGGTGTGAACAAAGTTTAAACGGCATTAAAAGAAAAGTTAACATTTTAAAATGCAATTTCTTGCTTGCATTGTATTATTTTGTATTTTCTTCGTCTCTGTTAGACAGGATATTGCAAGATTTAATTTAATTTGTAAATAAATGTAAGAAAAGAAAAGAAAAAAAATAATATGTTGTTCTTCGAATGTGAATAAGGCACGGTAATGACGATTGCGACACAAAAATTAAAATATTTTTTTTACTGTGCTCTATTAGACTAAAATAAGTAAGGAATCAAGTAAAAATAGTTAATTAAACTAGACATCAACTATTTTATTTTCAGTGGGATATTAACTTTTGAAATAACCATCCAGAACCGATTGAATTACACTTTTGAAATATTCACCCATTTAAAAAAAATAACTTTTTTCCAAGACACATTTATTTTTGTAAATGCGTAAGTAAGTCTGCCGTACTAAGCTAAACCCCCGTATCAGTAATATTAAATAATAAAGGACAAAAGATCATTTTCATTATTAAAAGCAATAAAAATTATCTTTTGTCATTTATTATTTAATATTACAGGTACGGGGGTTTAGCTTAGTACGGCAGAAGTAATCTAATACTAACTTTTATTGAAATGCTTCAAACTAAACCGCTTTTCACATAGCTCATACGTATATATTTGAAAGACAGAATGGTAGGCTATTAAAAACACTTAAACACAGAGTGTAATTACGTATATATTTGAAAGACAGAATGGTAGGCTATTAAAAACACTTAAACACAGAGTGTAATTACACTTAATTACACTTAAAAATGCGTGACATTTTATAAAACCTTAGTAAGCCATGTCCAAACATACATAAAAATATGCAGAGGTAACTTTATTGATGTAGTGACCAGGGGCGTAGCTACCGCGATATCAGCCGTATCATATCAGCCGTATCAATGATAAGGGCGCCCGGCTAGGGGGGGGGGGGCGATTGGCTTCCACATGCGTAAGCAAAAAACATATTACTCAGATGTTAAAAAAATTGAGGCATGAAATTAATTAATATTATTATTATTGTTTATACTTCGATTTTTTAAATTAAAATTTTCCTGAATACCCCCCTGTTCCAACAAATTGTTTCTGTCCGCACCTTTCCGCGGCGCAGTCTGCGCATATTGTTCTGTGCTCTGCGCCGCATACTGAGCCTGCTTTGCGTGTTATTATCATAGGTTATATTAATAGCAAATTAGAAATAATTTTTAGCTTAACAATTATTTCAAATAACTATTATTTATTAAATTATAAAAAATTGATAAATGCAAAAAAATTATACCTTAAATTATTTTTTTTGTTTGCCCAAAATAGACTTTGGGCGTGACACCCAGAAATTTTTTTGCCAGCAGCTTTTTCCGTATAAGGGGCCCTACCAGATTTTTGTTACGGGGCCCCCTCGAGGCTAGCTACGCCAGTTCAATAATTAAAAAAGTTTACCATTATTCGTTTCAGCCATAACTTATGACAGTTTTTAAGAAAATGATAGTTAAAAGGTAAGAATAACTTGGTAATAAACAATTTTTATTAACCATTGTAAGAGAAGCAATACCTTTTCGCGCAATTTACCAACACAAAGCAAGTAATTATGATTCTTAACTTTGACTGGTTATCGGAACAGATTTGAAGGTGATTTAAAGTTGTTTCATTTCTACAGATATTAAAAAATTCAAAATCCCCTTAATTTTGTCGAAATAAAACACTTACTTATTTTTAATTTCCCCTTGCTGGAAGCGCTCTCTAGTCTTCTGTGCGACGTTACAAACACAACAAAATTTCATCAAAATCCGTTCAGCCGTTAAATACTTTTAAAAATGGCGAATGCGCTGAAACTAAAACTTAATTTTTGAGTGTCTCAATTTACCCCCTTGGGAAAGACATTTAAAAAAATCCTTTCTTAGCGGTTATTCATGTCATTATAGGAATGCACTGTTAAAATTTCAGCACTTTAGGCTAGCCGTTTGGTCTGGGCGTTAATGAATCATATATGATGTTATATGTTATGTAATATGTTTTAACATAGGTAATACCTATGTTATACTATTAGGTATACTTGGTTGATAGATGTATTTTCTGACAGGTTGTGTTAAAATATAAAAGCTTATAAATTATAATTTTGCTATTATTATATAAATTTTAATATTTCATTTTTTAGTCATTTTATCCTTTCCTATAAATAGATACCTAAATACTAAATACAATAATTAAAATAATAAAAATTAAATTAAATTTAAACTAAAAAACTACTCGTCAGATTTTTTTGTATTTTTTTTATTATTCGTTATACGTTAACTTCCCTTGCTTAGTTTTTTTATTTACAAAAGAGCCTACTAGAAAAAATCTAATTATTTTCCAGTTTTAGAGAGTTTTCTCCACAAATTAAAATATTATTGCAAATCTTTGGAATATAATTTTGCCAATCTAAAAAAAAATTTGATCATTTTAGTTTCATATAAAATATAATAAATTAAATTATAACTAACTTTTTATAAGATATTTTTTTGTTTATCCTTTTTAAATATTGCTCTGTTTTGCAGTAAACGCCACTACAATTTTTTGATTGTTCATTTTGTTTGTTGGAGTAACTTTCAATTGCTCCCAGCACATATTGGGTTACATTATTCAGCTTTTCTTCACCTGAAAATAAAATTAAAAGTTTTTAATATAAAATAAATTACGAGGTTTTTATTATAATGAATATTTTTTAAAAATATTTAATGCGCTTTTACAGAACTTAAATTAAATTACTTAGTTATCATAACATGTTACCTCTGTTACTTTTGAATTGCCTCATTTCAACATCTTCATCTTCATCATTCGAGCTATGTTTTTTTTTGTGTTTCAAAGAAGGTATAAAAAGCAATAAGCATAAAATACCTATTAAACTAACGATTTTCTTAAATATCACAAGTTTTAATAGGATTTTTCCAAGGGTAAATAAGTCCAATTTTAATTTAAACTTATCTAAGAGACCGAGCATTCCATGGGGCATGCCATAAAATGGTTGTGAAGGTGGGCCATAGAATGGAATTGGAGCTGGAGCATAACTAAAAATAATTATTATTTATTAAATTTATATTCATTCTACAAAATATATAGTTTTATGCATACTTTTACATAAATGGTTAATGCGCTCAGGCGCGCCCCAAATATTTTAAACATTTATATTAATAAAAAAATAAATACAAAAAATAATATAATAATAATATTTAATATATGTAGGTAATAATATGCATATATATATATATATATATATTAGGGTGCTTCAAAAAAAATTTTTTTTCGCTCTTACCCTCTCAAATGTTTTTATTTAATATAAAAAAATCCTCACCAAATATGGGCGTTCCAGCTCAAGAGGTCAAGAGGTCGCTGTTTTTATTTTAGTTTCCCATTGAATTAACATGGGAAAAAATTAATTTATGTTTGGAATTTTATACCTCTGTATCAAAGTAAGCACCCTTATATATATATATATATATATATATATATATATATATATATATATATTTAATATTATACCCAGAAGTTTAAAACAAGTTGGGATAAAAACTGCGCTGCTAACTGCAAAGTTTTTTTAAAAGACGAATATAAGCGCAGGCGAGTTTATTTGCAAATAAATCACGGTGAAGATTTTAGAAAAAAATTAGTATTTTCCGATAAAAAGTAAGAGTAGTTTTTCCTGACAATTTTAGATTTTAACATGAAAGAAAGTAGTATGGCCCGCACGTAACTATTTATATTTATTCATTACAGAACAATTCTTTAGCTCATACGGCTTGAATAGTATGAGAGTAGGTCAACAACCACAATTTAAATGTTTTGCCATGGCCAGCAAGAAGCCTGACTTAAACCCTAGAAGAACGCTTTAAAGTAAAAAAAGTTATATCGAAAGGGTTTTAGGCCAGTGAATGGCGAACAATTGTAGCACGTACGCTTTTAAAAATGCTTGGGAAGAGCTTGTTGATTCCCACAGCATGCGACATTTAATTATGATAAGCTCATTTTACAATGTGGACAAAAGAGCAATTATTAAATACTCATCTTTTTCAGAAATATCCGACAAGACAAAAAAACATAATATTAGCATGCATAGGTGGGCGAAGGGTCCTTAAATCAGTCACAATTTTAAACAAACACTGACAATATAATATATTATATTTTTACCAACATATTATATGTTTTAAAATAGTATATTGTGCGACTAGTAGGAAAAATTGGATAATTCTCTAGCTTGAAATTTGCGGTAACACGCGATCAATCGCATGTAATTTAAAGCCAATTTTATTTCTTAATGACATTAATATTAGAAAGTCTGCAATATTTCCTTTCGCCACTGCGCTTTTTTTATATGCCTAAATTAAGAAAATAAATTATTTAAAATTAAAAATATTCTTCGGTTAAAAGCCAATTATCCTTTTAAATTACCCTTGACCCACAAAACATTTTATATTCATCAATAACAAAAGTTATTATAAAATATTTGAAGATCCATCTTCATTATGTTGAAAATATAGCAAACATTGCAATTTTTGTAAAAGGGATAGAAAATCTTTAAATCGACTGGTTAAAGTTTTTACCCAGGGTGACCACATTCTTTTAAACCAAATTTCTCTGACTTTCCGGTTTTCCAGTGACTGAGATATTAAATTTTATGTGCTGTCATTTCACCTGGCTCAAAATATTAAATTAAACGCTGTAGCTCCCGTCCAGAGGCGGGACTTCAGTCCCGAGTGACGTCATAATTTTAAGATTTGTTATGTTACGATAAAACTAAAACAAACAACCATCTAAGCTATCCAGCTTAACATTAATTTTATAACGCTCGGGAATTAAAAATGGATTTAAAGTGTGTGACGTCGATCGAACTTAAGTCCCGCCTCGGGACGGGAGCCACTTCGTAAATTAAATCAGTATTAATTCCCTAACTCTGGGAAAAAGTCACTGACATTCCCTGACTTTTCCTTGAAAAAATAAAATCCCTTACATTTCAGGGTTTTTCAGAAAATGGCCACTCTGTTACAATACTTCTAGAATTGAGTAAAATATGTATAGAAATTTTAAATTTTATATAGCTTTTTTGATAACAAAATCCTTTTGAATGTTTTTATTTTATTTTTTTTATTCCTTTATTTACAAATGTGGTAGTCGTTTCGCACTTTATAGCTATAGTTAAAAAATGCAAAACCACTACCACATAAACGAATTAAAAAAAATGAATGACTACATTCAAAGGAATTTTATTATCGAAAATGTTATGTAAAAATTTAAAATTACTATAACGCGGTTGCGTCCTTTTTAAAATTCAATTATTTCTTATTGTTTCAATATATTTTTGGTACAATACGATCGCCCCCCTTAGCCCTCTATACGGCAAGCTACTGGAAGGTACCTAGTAGATGACTTTATTAAATGATGGCTAATAATCGTACATTAATTTTTACTAATATTTTTTTTAATTGACTTTTTTTCAATACAATTATTCTATGACCGCTTAGAAAGAAATAAATTTCACCTTTTTTGTTCCATCACAAATATAATATTTATAAAAAAATATATAATATTTATAAAAAAATCTGTTTAAAAGAGGGTCCGCTTTTAAAATTGTTAAATACTTATAAGGAAAAGTAGTTTTCTATTCTCACAGATTTTTCTCCTGAACTTCATTTTCCTCTCTAGAAATTTTTAGTGCATTTGTAAAAAAGACAAGAAAATTTTAATTCATACAACAAAAGCAAAATTGAGAACATTTTGCATGTCGCTGGTTTTCTTAATTAAATTACACATGCAGTTACTATACAGATAGTGCGAAGAAGTATTCAAAATCGACAATTTTCTTTCATGGTGGATATACTTAATGCGATTTAATCCTAATGTACCCTAATTAAAGTAAGATTTTAATATTTTAGCATAATTTTAGTTGGGTACCTATATTTTTGTTGTTTTAAAACAGGTCGTACCCGTACAAGAAAATCTTACTTTCCAGATCCATTCATTGAAAAATAATATACTTACTTGTAATTTGATGGACCATAAGACTGAACAGGTGGGTCATATGCGGGTACAGGAGGGCCATAATTGCTTCCTTGTGAAACTCCATAACTTTGTTGCGGAGACACACTGTAATCCCTATCAATTTTGGTACCCTGGATGGTTCCACTTTCACTATGAGATTTTGAATAGGCCTCTAAATAAGAATCTTTTGGGTAAACTACACTAACTTTTTCACACAAGCAACATACTGCCAACAAGGCAGAACATACTAAAACCCTCCTCATTGTCAGTGATACGTTTCATGCAAAAGTCATCAATTAACTAAATAAAAAAATAAGGAAGTTTTAAAGAAAAATAACTCGTGCCACATATTTTAGTATTTGTTATTCAAGACAATAGTTATATTTAACCAGATTACATAAATTATTCGTGGCCCAAAGTGCAGAAATGCGGACGATATATGATAGGCATATTAATTAGTTTATATATTTGAATTATATTACTCATTACTAATGAGTCATTAGGTTCCTTTAATTAAATTACACTTTATTATTTATTAATTTGACTTTTTTAATAAATATCACTTTATATGATTAATATGTTTTAAAAATATAGGTAATAATTATTATTATTACACAGGCCTTGACATTATAAACTAAATAGTAATTGGACTCACAAAAAGACACTTCTTGAAATGACATACAACATTTTATCTTCAATACACAATTTTATTTGTAAAAAATACATATAACTTTATTAATAAAAATAGAAAGTGAGGTTAGTTAGATCGGACATAAATCAAATTTTTGTATTGTTCCAAAGTAGTAAATAAATAATTGTTATGGCATATGCCATTTCAATTAAATAATTATTTATTTAAGTGCCTAGGCCATCGACCGATTGAAGATAAGTAATATTTTATATCAATTAAAATTAACATATAATAAATTATGTTCTAGGTAATATTTTTTTAATATTTTAATTTAACAACACGTTTATTACTTTAAATAGCTTTAATGATTTTGAAAATAAGTATGCTTATAAGATACCGTAAAACCCAAATGTGCCAAAGACCAATTTAAAGAAAACAACGTTAGGTATGAACTAGGGGTGTCAATCAAGCCTTTGATTATCAGGGAATAAAATGTCATAATCATATGTCAAATGTTATTTTTTTAAATAAAATGTACTATTCTGTTGAAGAATTTTTTAAGGATTCTTTTTAATTTTATCATTAAATTTTATTCTTGTATATGTTATAGTATTTAATATTAAGTGTCATTAATTTTACTTATTTTTGTGTGACTAGTCTTATAGGAAAAATTTACTTTGTAATTTTGTTTTACTGATGAATAAATTATTATTATTATTAGGTATTATAAGCATATATAAAAATACTTCATTTTTGTACGGAGTTCAAAAGTCAAGTTATTATCCACTGCTGTACAATAATAAAAATACATTGAAATTACATAGCAAGAGTGGTTCTATCTATCGCGTTTAGCATAAAATCAGCAAAGAAAATGTAAAATTACAGGTCCCTGTAGAATAAATTCATGTACATAACCTATAATATAACATATTTCAAACGTAAACCTGAAAAAATTTAACAAACTTGATAATTTCAATGTAAGTTACAGCCTTAATTGGAACTCACCAAGGCCCGATTGATAAAAGAAATGGAATTATTTGTTAATGGGGTAAACGTAAGCTGACCATACGTCCTGTATTCTACAGGACTGTCCTTTCTTTTTTCCCACTGTCCTGTATTGTGGGCGTCCTGTAAAATGTCCTGTATTTTGCCTGACATTATTATATTTACTTTACTTTCTAAAACCTTCAATTTAAAGCTGGCAACGTAGCACTTGAAAAGGTTTGGACTTCCTCCCGAAACTAAAGATATTTCAACTGTGCAATACGCAGTGCGCTGTAGCGTCATCATCTTACATAATGAAACAGGGTACTGAACCAAACAGTACTGTATTCATTCATTATTATAATACATGAATCATAGATTAATACAAGTATATTTAATTAAGTGACAGTTTAACTATAAATATCTAGTTAGGGTATTGTGATTTTTATTGTTAAAACCAGTTTGTAAGAAAATATAAATATAATAATAATATACTAATAATTGTTGAATTTTTTGGTGCCTTCATGAACAAGTGAAAAATCTCAATTGTCGGTAGAAACACTTAAATCGATGTTGGTTTTAACGTAGGTACCATGTGGAAATGGAATATTAAAAAATGTTTATTTATTTATTGCTTTTGCTTAAAGTGTGTTTATGTTTGAGTTTGTTAATCTTTATTTACCTACTTGTAATAATAATCCTATCTTCAACTTCAATCTAATCTGACTTATCCCACAAAATTTTACTTTTTATTAAATAATGTCATACAACTTATGGGTTAGAGGTCAAATTGTTTATTTAATATTTTTAAATAAATATTTATTAATATATCGCAAAATTTTTTAAGGGGCGACAAATACATTTCACTGTCATATTTTGACAGTGAAATGTATTTGTCGTCTCCTGAAGAATTTTATGAATGTAGAATACAACATATTAGAACGTGGGTATCTGACATATTTGGAAATATTCTCAAAAGCTTCCTAGAAGCTCCATAAGAAACCTTTTAAGAACATTCCAAAAACGTATTCTTAAAATGTTCTTAGGATGCTTTTTAGGAAGGTTTTAAGAAGCTTTTAAGAATCTAATTGCATCATTAAAAGGGTATCTATTGAATGTTTTAAAAGTCCCTAAGAACATTCTTAGCAATAAGGGAAGGTTCTAAGAATATTCCATTATTCCGGGTCATATCTTCTTAGAAGATTCTTAAAATCAAATTTTGCTATCATGGAAGGAGAGAGGAGGGGCAGTCTAGGGGGCCCCCGAATACCAAAAAATCATCCACAGTCCAATAAAAATAACGCTAAAATTTTTTATTCCGTTATTTGGAATTGGGAGCATGCACAATAAGCGTATGTACTATCGTCCAAACCTCAAACTTCAGTTTGCTTATAAAACGGGGCAAATATCTTCATTAATAACGTAATAGGATACAGGGTGATTCACCTAACTTATTCATTAGAAGTTAATGGAAAACGGAAAAAGATATCGTTTTGAAATTTGTATAGCAATTATAAGGCAAATATTTTTTTAAATTATTTTCAATGCGTTATCACTTCCGGTTAAACCAGAAGTGATATCAACTTTGGTTTTTCAAATATAACCATATACCCAGACAGCAATCAATCTTAAGATTCCCAATGCTCCAGGAATATTCCGTGCTTATCAGGAATGATCCGGCACATTCCCGGAGCATTCTTAGGGAATATGTCTGAAACAATCCTTAAGAATCCTTTAGGAATATTCCCTGCACATCTAGAATGATCCTGCACATTCCCGGAGCATTCTTTGGGAATATGTCTGAAACAATCCTTAAGAATCCTTCAGGAATATTCTCTACTTCACTGGAATAATCCGGCGCATTTCAGGAGCATTTTTTGGGAATATGTCTGAAACAATCTTTAAGAATTATTAAAGGCTACAGAAATTTTAAGTAAATGTGAAAATTATTATTACCCAGACTGCAATGAAGGTAAGAACATATTCCAGGAATATGCCCTATCATCTAGGAATAATCTGCTTCATTCTAGGAGTATTCATTGGGAATATTCCATAGAATGATTCTCTAAAACTTCCAAGCACCATCTAAGAACATTCCCAGTGAATATTCATTGGGAATATTTCATAGAATGATCCTTTACAACTTCCAAGCAACATCTTGGAACATTCCCAGTGGATGTTCTTTATATTCAAAAACAATAAATATTTTTATCTTTCTACAAATTGGTTATATTCCAGGAATATGAGCTATAATCTAGGAATAATCCGCTTCATTCTAGGAATATTAATTGGAAATATTCAGTTGCAATATCTCTCACCGTTGCTTACGCACGCTTGATAACTATATATTTAATATATAGTTATCAAGCGTGCGTAAGCAGAGATGTAAAAAAACGGTTTTTTTTCAGATGTGAAAAAAAACATGAAAAAAAAACTAGAAAAAAAACGGCTTTTTTTGTTTTTTTTCAAAATGAAATTTTGGGTCAAATGTAGAATATATTACATTTTTCATTATTGAAAATTTTGACCAAGACTAAAAAATCTGATTTCTTATTATTTGGTAGTTTCCACATTAAAAACCAATAGCAATGTAAAACTTCTACACTAATACAAAAAATTAAAGGATAAATTTTTTTTGCGATTTTTCGGATAGCTGTATATTTGTTAAAAATGGTCGTATTGGAGCCGTAAAAAAGCAATTTGAAGCTTGAAGTTTATAGTTTTGAGATTTTTAGATGAAAAACGTGCAACGCTCAATTCTAACGAATACCGTAGTAAAAAAATCGATTTTTTTTATTTCTTTTTTGGTCCACGGAATGTTCTGACCACCAATGAAGAAATGTTCTACAAGAATTTGCTATTGTTTTTTGAAAAAAAAATTCCATACTCTACATAAATTTGAAAAATCATGAAAATAGTGCTTTTGGTAGCTTTTTGAAAAATCAAGCGCTGAATCAAAAATATTATATGTATGTAGTTACTTTTTTTAGGACCAAATCAAAACAAGCGCGGCCCTTATTGGTCAAATCGGTGGTTGTGGCGAGTGCATAACGCGAGACTGTATTTACATTTAATAATTGTCAATTAGTGGCTAATTTTAGTCCATGGAAACATAAAAAATTAGGCAAATGGGACTAATCTTGAAAAAAAAACTAAAATGTGAAAAAAACCCATTTGAAAAAAAACAATGAAAAAAAACCTGAAAAAAAACAAAAAAAACGGACCGTTTTTTTTTCAAGTCGCATCTCTATATATATACCAATAGGTTAATAATATCAGTTGGAGATGTGCGTCTGTGATGGCAAAGCTAAACAATTATCTACTCAGTACCTAACTGGCTAGTTAGTTAAGTTTCTGGGTATAATTATAGTGGCCATAAGTTTCTGGGTATAATTATAGTGGCCATAAGTTTCTGGGTATAAGTGGCCATAAGGGCTAGGAGTAATCTCTAAATTATATTAAGGAACATTCTCCTAACAATACTTAAGTCTGGCTGACTGATGACTGGGTTAACCAAAAAGCGGAAATTTAATTAGGTACGCCAGTAATATTCCTGGGAATATTCTCCTAACAATACTTAAGTCTTATGCATGCCTCTACTTGGAATATTCTTTTTATGATGACTGGGTTAACCAAAAAGCGAACATTTGATTACGCCAGGAATACTTCTGGGAATATTCTGGTACGCTTGGAATAATCCTGGGAATATTCCTGACATGTGCAGGGAA